TCTCAATTCAAAATAATGACATGTCTTGGTGTTGGCTAATGTAAAGTTTATTTAAACCTAGTACTTTTATATAAGCTTAACCATTTCATCCTTCCTAAAATTCAGTGATTATGATTCAACTTTAGAAGGTTAAAGCAGTCTTCTATGTAAAACCCCATATACCTTTTTGAAATACAATATATTTACACCAGCGAGGAAATGATAAAAACCTGTAAAAACCACATGGGACTTGCCAAAAAGGCTGCCTACATACAGAAGGAGCATTTCGCCTCAGCACACACACACACGTGATCCAACAGACTCCCTCACGTTGTCTTACACAGCAACCTGCGTGGTTATAAATGCCGCTCTAGCATGTATGAACTGAAAATAACATGTTTTAAAAGGTCCTTGAAGACACAGGGGAGTGGAATGAGCCCGCCCTGAGAGCAGCACCACACAGGCTGTTAGGAGGATGTGGCCGAGCTGCCAGCCCAGCTGGCTCCGCCCCTGGGGAAGCAGGCCCCGCCCCGTGGGAACAGGGCCCACCCCAGGGAAGCAGGCCCCACACCAGGGAAGCAGGCCCTGCCCTCAGAAAGCTGGCGGAGGACCCAGAAAGACTGATGGTCTTGCCAAAACCGGTTTGGCTCAGTGGATAGAGCATCGGGCTGCGGACTGAAGGGTCCCAGGTTCGATTCCGGTCAAGGGCATGTACTTGGGTTGCGGGCACATCCCCAGTGGGAGATGTGCAGGAGGCAGCTGAACGATGTTTCTCTCTCATCGATGTTTCTAACTCTCTATCTCTCTCCCTTCCTCTCTGTAAAAAATCAATAAAATATATTAAAAAAAAAAAAGACTGATGGTCTTTTTGATGATCTCCAAGGCCTCCTGGACCTCGTCCTCCTTGATGACCAGAGGAGGTGGAATCTGATGATGTCGCCATGGGTAGGCTTGGCCAGAAGTCCATTATCTCGAAGGCGCAGGCGAACCTTCCAAGCATCGGAATCTTTGGTTTCCCCGGTGACGGTGGCATCCAGCAGCCCCTTCCCATGCATTGCGGTCACGATGTCCCAGGGCAGCTTCCTGAGCTCATTCTCTTCTTCCAAAACTTCGCAGGCGGCGTTGGCCCCGCGGCTGCCCAGGGGGTTGCCCCTGTACGTGGAGCCGCGCTCCCCAGGCTGGATGGTCAGCATGATCTCGTGGTCACACAGCACCGCCCACACGGGGTACAGGCCCCCGGAAGGGCCTTGCCCAGGAGGACGAGGTCAGGCCTGACGTTTGCATGGCCGACTGCCAGCCATCGCCCAGTCCTGGCCAGTCCTGTCTGGGTCTCATCCAATAAACAGGACTGGGTGCCTGGCGCAGAGCTCGCGCACACCCCTCAGGCAGCCTGGGTCGGGACAATGACGCCCGCCTCGCCCTGAATGGGTTCGACCATGAACGCAGCAACGTTTGGATCCTGAAGAGCACGCTCAAGAGCAGGTAGGTCGTTGTAGGGAATGATCTCGAACCCCGGCATGAAGGGGACAAAGCCGTCGTCGCTGCTGGGGTCCGTGGAGCTGGAGATGGCACACAGAGTCCTGCCCCAAAAGTTTCCAGCTGAGAAGACGATCTTGGCTTTGTCCTTGGGGATGCCCTTCACGGTGCAGCCCCACCACCGCGCCAGCTTGCAAGCGGTCTCCCCGGCCTCCACCCTGTCTATGCTCGTGGGGAGAACCTGGTGGTAGTTGAAGAGCTTTGTGACGTTCTCCTCGTCTTTGCCCGGCACGTTGTTGTAGGAGGCCCGCGAGGTTGGCGTCAGCTTCCCCGCCTGGCTCTTCAGGGCGTCCACAATCTTGGGGTGGCAATGCCCTTGGTTGACGGCGCTGTGCGCACTCAGAAAATCAAAGCGTTTCCTGCCTTCCGCATCCCACAGGGAAATACCTGTCCCTCTCTCCAGGGTGACCAGTAAGAGGTGGTAAAGAGCGTCCCAAAATTCAGGCAAGATTTGAATTTTGCGTGAGCATTAACAATGGCAAAAAATAAAAGCCCAATTTTACTTGGTTTATTGAATCAGATTTTAATATTTGTTACCCTGTGATTTCAATCCCTTCAATTTGATAAGCATTACCAAGTACCAATTATGGCCCAGGAGCAGAGACAATCAAGACCAAGGCTTTGCGTGTGTACCAGCAAAGCTGTGGAGGCCATTTACCCGTTGTCCTATTCCATACAAAACCCTATACTGTATACATTTTGAATCAATAAAAAATTTACAATTTTTAATTATAAACCTGTGTTTTCTATCAAAATTACTTCTTGCGTGAATTTTGGGACACCCTTTAGTTGTGAGCGCCATACTTGGCTTCCCCGTTCAAAAACGTCATCCGACCATAGAGGGCCTTGGACCATCTTCTTAGTCGCCACGGATGTAGGAGAAGTCACTGGCGTGTGGGCGCCCCGCCACAGTCTGCAGACGAGCTAGCTTGGAAAGCATCGTGTCCGCAGAGAAAGAATTCCACCAACCAGCTACCCTTTCTCCTGCGGTTAGGATGGAAATGCAGATTGCTCAGCCTGGATCCAGGGACGACCTGCTGGGTCCAATAATCCCTGGGGGTGCCTCTGGCGCCAGAACCAGCGGCTATGTCTTGGTGGCAGCACATTGTTTGATTCTTGCATGGAGCCTGACTGAGGATGGAACCCACAACCTTGGCACTACTGAGATGATGCTTTAATCAACTGAGCTCTCTGGCCAGGGAGAAACTTATCAGGGGTTTTTAGTAAAATAAGTCACTAATGTATCTGAGAATAGTAGATACCAGAACCACTGAGATGAGAGGTAGTGATGGAAGACAACAATTCTCAGGTCACGCATCCCGGAACCAGAGAGGAGGGAGCCCGATTCTGGGTTGTGTCACCTGACAACTGCCCTCTCATAATCCAGGACCCCTCAGCAGGTATCGGAGAGCTGGTTTCGGCCCAATTCCCTGCAGGCCAGGCCGTAGGAACTCACCTGCCAGAGGGATCCCACTCATTCCACAGACACCCTTGAAGCCAAGGCGCTGCCCCAGGTGGAGCCTAATGGGGAGGGACCGGGGAAGGTTGGCATTAGGCTGTGTCAGACCCGTCTCAGCCAGTCCCACCCCACTTGTCACTTTCTAATTAATTTCCTTTCAATGTGCACAAGTCCATACACCCAGTCACTAGTAAAACAAAATGATATACTACTGAAATATCTTATGTCCATGTTCAATGCCATCATTTTCGCAGTTGGAATGTAGTTATGACATTTACACAAGGGAAATTTTCAACTACCACAAACCTAGACTTCAATGTATCATTAAATGCTTAAACTTAAAGAACACTGGTGGAGAATTAACAATGCAGATTAAATGTATAAGTGTCTGGTACAAGTGGGCTATAAATCATACATAGGGTAAAAATTGAGAAAAACCATTTTGTTTATAGAATTCAAAAACCAAGAATACCATATGGCCAAAAAATCAGTCGAGTCACTGAGGACTGAGTGAAATTGAAACATATGTCTTAGAGGCTGCACCGCCCTCCTATTGGTTAGAATAGAATAATAAATTAAGTTTAAAAGTAAACAAAAAATCCTGATCATTTTAACAAAGAAGATAAAGACAGTGAAAGAAATACATGAAGAAATCATCACCATCAAATATCATTATGGAAATGAAGTTAAAACAAAAGCGAGTTAACAGTACACTCATTGATGGGGCTAGTACTTAAAGAGATTAACCTTTGCATGTGCTGGCAGAGTTGCATAGAATTTTCTGGGTGGGTGGGAAGGCAAACTGATTGACCATTTGAGGTCATAGTTCCATATATGTTGAAATGTACCACATTCACTGACACTGGAACAGTTTAATAAGACATACATCTGTAGAAAGAATGGAATACAATATTCTGAGCTGTTTTATTTTTAAAACCCCAAACGTAGAAATAACTGAAATTATAGGCGGCTCAATAGTAAAAGTGGTTATCCATAGAATACAATATTTTCTAGAAATAAAAAATTATTTATATAAACGTTAGTGTTAAATCTCAAACATCTGTATAGCATGAAGGAAGCCAGTGTTTGTTAAAAAGAATTCACCTTATAGTGCCAATAAATTTATGAAAAATATGAACTACTCTATTGTAAAGGAAGGTAAATCAATGTCTGCATGGAGGGTTGGGGAAGCAGAAATATTACAAAATGACTGGGGGTAAATACAGAGTGTGGCAAATTCAGGTTTAGAGTAGTTGGTGTTGAAAACAATGCACTAATAAATAACAACACAAATATAAAAACACCCTTAAAAAAAAGATCATAAACCAGAGCAGAGGAGAGCACAGAGTTTGCAGGTTGGTGAATAAAAAACCCCCAAAATTTATCAAAGCATAATGTGAGTACCACTATGTCCCTGAAAGAGGTAGCACTGCTTAGCTGAGAACAGCTGCTCTGGATGAATCCTGGGTCAGGTCCATTTTCTAGTCATAGAGAAATGAATGAAGATACTGCCAAGAGCTTGGAGGAATCATAATTACCACAAGCAGAAGCGAGAACACAGAATACATTCCCCTGAGCACCCAGGGAATGTGACCGATGCACACTCCTCAGGTGAGGCAGGTGTTAGCTGTGAAATCTCTTTAGTGATAAACACTCACAGTGACATCATTTGGGTTGTAGGTCTGGACATGTTAGCAAGTACAACACAGATCCTTCAAGTCTCACTTGTACCTCAATTTTATGACAAATCTAGCAGAGTGTATGTTCTCATTAAAGGGGTTTACATTCATGTAAATGGGTCCCATCGAGCCCCTAAAGTGTTCTTATTCTTAGTGAGAAAAATAAAACATTCCCTGCACATTTACATCTTTTCTCCAGTGTGAAATTACAGGTGTCTAACCAGGTTATAGTTGTAGCTAAAAGGAATCCCACACTCACTACACTCACCAGTGTGAACTCCCTTGTCTTCACTGGGGATAGAGCTTTCACTAAAGGATTTCGCACATTAACTACACTCATATGGCTTTTATCGAGTGTGAACTCTGTGGTGTTTCCTGAGGGCAGACCTTTCACTGAAATGCTTCCCACATTCACTACACTCATATGGCTTTTCTCCAGTGTGAACTCTGCGGTGGTTAGTGAGGGCAGCCTTTTGTCTGAAATGTTTCCCACAATCGCTACACTCATATGGCTTTTCTCCAGTGTGAACTCGTTGGTGTATAGTGAGGGCAGCCTTTTGTCTGAAATGCCTCCCACAATCGCTACACTCATATGGCTTTTCTCCAGTGTGAACTCGTTGGTGGATAGTGAGGGCAGCCTTTTGTCTGAAATGCTTCCCACATTCACTACACTCATATGGCTTTTCTCCAGTGTGAACTCTGCGGTGTATAGTGAGGGTAGCCCTTTCTCTGAAATGTTTCCCACAATCGCTACACCCATATGGCTTTTCTCCAGTGTGAACTCTGTGGTGTATAGTGAGGGCAGCCCTTTCACGGAAATGCTTCCCACATTCACTACACTCATATGGCTTTTCTCCAGTGTGAACTCTTTGGTGTATAGTGAGGTTATACATTTGACGAAAGGATATCCCACATTCACTACACTCATATGGCTTTTCTCCAGTGTGAACTGTGTGGTGTTTAGTGAGGTGAGACCTCCGACGAAAGGATATCCCACATTCACTACACTCATATGGATTTTCTCCAGTGTGAACTCTGTGGTGTATAGTGAGGGCAGCCTTTTGTCTGAAATGCTTCCCACATTCACTACACTCATATGGCTTTTCTCCAGTGTGAACTCTGTGGTGTCTAGTGAGGGCAGCCTTTTCTCTGAAATACTTCCCACATTCGCTACACTCATATGGCTTTTCTCCAGTGTGAACTCTTTGGTGCACAGTGAGGTGACACTTTTGACGAAAGGATATCCCACATTCACTGCACTCATATGGCTTTTCTCCAGTGTGAACACTGTGGTGTTTAGTGAGGGCAGCCTTTTCTCTGAAATGCTTCCCACATTCGCTACACTCATATGGCTCTTCTCCAGTGTGAACTCTTTGGTGTACAATGAGGCGACACTTTTGACGAAAGGATATCCCACATTCACTGCACTCATAAAGGCTTTTCTCCAGTGTGAACTCTCCCATGTGGAGGGTGGTAAAACATTTGTCTACACACTTCCCCACATTTATTATACTCAATAAAGCATATCTCCAGAGCAGAGACCTTTCCTGATAAGCAACTTTTCTGTTTCTGGCTGTCAGCTCCTTCACATTCCCACCTGCTGATGATGTCTTTTTCCCACCGAGAAAATTCCTGCGAATTCTCATGTTACTGTGTGGCCTTCATAAGTGTTAAGAGGTGGCCGGCTGCTGAAGAGCCTTAACATGGCTGGGGGAGTCTT